TATTCTACTTGAAACCAATGCTACTGTATTAGTTGTCCATTTTGGTTTAACAAATTACTACATACTTAGTGATTTAAAAACACACAAAAGCGATGGGAGTAGTGGCTCATGCTTGTAATCCTAGCATTCTGGGAGACCAAGTAAGGAGGATCATTTGAACCTAGGAATTCAAGACCAGCAAAGGCAATATAGCTAGACCATACCTCTTTTAAGAAAATCTAATCTGATAGTCTCTGTGAACCAGGTATGGCTCAGCTGGACCCTTTGTTCGGATTCTCATGAGGCTGCGGTCAAAGGTTGGCTGAGCTACATTCTCATCTGGAGACTTGACTGGGGAGAGCCTACTTTCACACTCAGTCAGGTCATTAGCAGCATTCATCATTTGTAATTGTAGAGCTAACGGTGGTTAATTTCTCAAATTACCAGAAAAGAATATCTCTCCATGAAAAAACCAGTCCTTCTTTTAAGGTCTTCAACCTGATTAAGTCAGGTCTACCCAGGATAATCTTTTTCTAATTAACTTGAAATTAGCAAATTTTGCATCTTAATTACATTTGCAAAATCCATTCACCTTTCACATATAAATTAACTTAATCAAGGGAGTGAGAGGTTAAGTTCTTGTCATTACAACCAAACCATGTTTTGCATACACTCAAGAGGATGAAATTATACAAATGTGTGACTAATTAGGGATCTCCTTAGGGTGTGTCCGCCACAGTTGCAAGGATTAAGACAGTGTGGTAATGATGCAGGAATCATATGCACAAACAAGTTCATATAAACATGATCACATAAATAACAGAGATGTGGCCTTGCAGATGACTGGGAGCCATGAGTGACGCTTTCACAGGTAATCATGGAATGTTAATTAGTTCATTTGGAAAATTAATTGCATATAAAGATAACCAGGAAAAAAACAAAACTTGTATAAGAGGACTTGACTTGGGGTTAAGGAAAAACGCTTAAGGATAACACCAACAGCAAGAACAGTCAAATAAAAGTTTGATAAATTGAATTCCTTAAAATGAAGAAATTTTCGTAAATGTGTGGCATGAAGAAAAAGACAAGTCTTCCCAGAACAAACTTGAAGAACAAGAAGGAGATTAGGTTTCTGCTGTGGTGAGCACTGTTGGCTGCTTTTTGGGGAGTATTAAGCTTAGGTTGTTTTGAAAGAAGACCAGGATGGGTATAACTGTGTGGAGGATAGAAGAGTTGGTCATCAGACAAAGAGTAAGTTTAGGTGGCTCAGCCTGTAATCCCATGCCTTTGGGAGGCTGAGGTGAGTGGATTGCCCGAGCCCGCGGGTTTGAGACCCGCCTGGGCAGGCAAGACCTCATCTCTACAATAAAATCAAAAAATTAGCTGGGCATGGTAGCGCGCCTGTAATTCTGGCTACTTGGAAGGCTGAGGCGGAAGGTTCACCAGAGCCCAGCAGGTCGAGGCTGCGGTGGCCGCTCCCGGCCCCCGCACTCCAGTCTGGGTGACAGAGTGAGACTTCAACTCAAAAAAAAAAACCCCAAAAAACAAAAACAAAACCAAAAAAAGCTTAGAGAAATAACAGTAATGTATAAAGGAGATTCAAATAATGAAGTTGGTGCCTGAGATGCAGTAATGAAATTAGGGTATCTCCAACATGGAGCAAATAATGATTTGCAATAGTTTACTTTGGGAACAATGCTGGGGTAAATTATGAAAAATCTGCCTAGTCCCCTGAGACGTTACAATGTTGAAAATATCTCTATGAGCTTCCAGTCTTACCACTGAAATCAAATGGTAAATTCAGATGGAAACATCTTCAGAGCTTACACATGAGAAAAATATTAGAGGGTTCTGTAAAGGCTTTTAAAAAAAATTTTTCTGAGAGAATCTTCATTCCTGAAACATGGCTAAAAGAGTGTTATTCAGTAACTGGCTAGCATTTTTAGAAACAAAAACCTCTATCACTTTCCTTTTACAATAATAATTTAGTGTCTTCCTACTGATCCAATAGCATGATGCTTTTGCAAATATAAAGTTTAATAAAGTGAAGAACATGATATTTAAATGAACCATGTCTTTTGATTTTACAGTAAAGTAATTGCATGAAGAATCATTTTAATTTCCTGAGAAACATGGAAATATATTTCTATATAGATTTATTTAAATGATGCAACAAAGAAAATTGTACATTTACTTCCTGAAGCCTCTACGCCAGATAACCTGTTATCCCTGTCCAACAACCCATTTTCTTCTGTGGATAAAGACAGGAAACAACTCCTCCTTCCACAGCCAACATGGAGCTACATTTTCTGCACAAACCTGCCCTAGCTGTCTTTTAATTGTTCAGGATGAACAGCTATCTAACCTACACCTGTCAGAGTCCTTCCAAAGATGCGAACTAAATAAGTGTATGTTGCTACCAGATATGGGACTTATTAATGCTAAAATAAATGAATAAGTAAATAGAAAAGCCCTAACTAGCCCACTATGATGCTTCAAAACATTAGCCTGGGGAAAATTATTGTTTAGACATTCAATGCTAAAAAGCTAGTATTGAGAATGGATTGCTGCCTACTAAAAATAAATAAAGTATTCAGGATTAGAAATATCTGATATCAGGTCCTGATGTTCCTTTGAATATGTGTGGAGGATGACGTCACTTTCATGGTTCACTATGCAGCCCCTCTTTTTGACAGCACCATGCACACCTCCACTCATGCACCCAACACTAGTCTACTGTTTGACTGGTCTTTAGTGAAGCGCCCATTTTTAAAAAGCTTCAGTTGTACCCAGGGTCCAGGAAACCTACAACCATGGGATGCCCAGGTAGGTCACTGTGTTAGGCACTGAAGTATGCTGAGTTCAGGCAAGGGGAGTCCTTCCCACCTCAGATGGAGGAGCAGATGAATGTGCTATAATTAGCTGTGTCTGTTCTGGAGTTGCCACTCTGTTCATCTTGCTCGGTAATGTACAATGGTGATGAAGAAGACTATTCAACTTTATAATATTCAATTTGGACTGTGTTCATAACTCTTATAGTGATTTATTATGTTTTATTTTTCTATATAGCTGTTTGTCTATATGTTTGGCTTTATCTGCCATTATTGATTGCAATACTATTTAAAATTGATAGGCATGAAGAATCACACATAATTCAAATAACATTTCCTCAGAAAACAATGCACCTTTGTCATTCACAATATTTAGAAAAATATGGTGTGTTCTTTATCCTGATTCCTTTGTACTGAAATGTTAATCTGCTTAAAATTTCAAATGTTTCTTGAAAAGTGTTATCAAAGTTAATGTTACTATTGACAATTCTAAATATTGGTGTAACAGAATATTTCATCCTGCAAAAAGTTGTAATTTATTGAAAGACATAGTATTCATATGAGCCCAATATAGTCTCGCTATTAATCTGCTAGACAAAAATGGGACTTTAGTGGTGATGGAAATACAGGAAATACTAACTGATTGATTACTTATAATTAAGTAACATTGGTAACTAAGGACAATACATTCTATAATTCCAACCAGTGAATTGGTTGGAAAAATATTGTATTAGTAATTATAGAAACAAATTAATCACAATTGTAAGGCGGGTGTCAGGGAAGACTTCCTGGGGAACTAAGTGATTTTGAAACTAAGATTAAAAAATGAGTTTATAGGAGCACTCTAGATGCATGGAAAAGAAAAAGAAGAATGTAATGGGCAGAAGGAAAGTGATTCACAGTCCTGTGAGGAGGGATTTGGGTAAGTCTTGAGGAACTGGGTAGACCAGATGCCAGTAGTGCAGTGGTCCCAGGGCAAAGGGCATTTAATGAAGAATGGTGTGGGCCCTAATAAAATGTCACAGTTATACAATGGCAGGAAGATGTTGGTAAGGATTACAAGGAGAAGGATAAATGATATTTGTGTTTTAGAAAGAGCCTCTTGATGACAGGAAAGAATGGTTTGGAGCAGAGAAAGCTTGGTCATTAGCAGAAAAACATGGGGCTATGACAAAAAATGGTAGCTTAGAATGGGGATTGGGGGAAGGGTCTGAGAGCAGTGGAGCAAATAGAGCCATTGAGAATAGAAATGGAAGGGGTCAGAGGTGGTTTCTGGATTTCCTCCTGAACAAGTGAAAGAAGTACCTGAATAGAGAATAGGAATTGATGTGGGGAAGATGAGAGTTCAGTTCTGGACATGGTGGATTTCACACTGGAAGGCTGCATCTTGCAAGCTGAAAGGGTAGAGGATTCAAATGCGGAGGATGGGGAAAGCCACTGTCTCAGCCTGAAAGAGAAATGAATTGAAATGCTTTTGGAAGAAAATGTTTAGTGTATTAAGAATTATATCCCCTCTGAAAGCCACTGGGGAAGTGATGGAATCTCTGGTAACATCTACACTGCTCCTCATGGTGTGACTCTGCTTTCATGGGAGGGAGCAGAATGTTATGAAATGACTACTTTTGCTTGTTTCTAGGTTGGCACAAGCTAAGGGCTAGAGTTATGAAAGAATAAGAAATATAAAAATATTAAATTAAAAATAAAGTACAAAGTTGATAAGTTAAAATGCATGATAAAACAAAATCAAAAATATAAAATAATTATGCAAGTTTATGTATAATATGAACACTCTGTTATTATTGGAAAAAATGTCCCTTAAAATGACTATGAATGTGTTTGAAGATTGAGTTTACCGGTGACCTTTGAATTTAATCATTCAACATACAGAAAGACTCAAACAATAACAGCTCATCAAATCATAACTTGCCATGGAATAGATCTGCCTGTATATCTTCTCTATAAATCAATATATGTGTTTTAATGCCCTTTACAGTCACCAATAAAATGCTGTTCACACCCAAAAATTAAGATTAGTAGCATCAGCATTTTTATCTTTTTCCTAATTTGATATTGTTGTAGTTGTAAGCTTTTATCCAAGTCATCCATTTAGCAAAATAAGTTAAAAATGATTTCTCTGAATTATATTTAACCCATGAAAGTTGTAATAATTTTGACAATATTTTATTACAGGTGATTATGTTGTCATGACTATATATTTTGAGTTGAGTAGAAGAATGGGATACTTCACTATTCAGACATACATTCCCTGTATACTGACTGTGGTTTTATCTTGGGTGTCATTTTGGATCAAAAAAGATGCTACACCAGCAAGAACAGCATTAGGTGAGTTTCAAAAAATCTCTCCCATCATTTTGTGTAATTTTAGTACAGAAGCATTCATAAAAATAACTTTAATAAAATAAACTTAGTTTAAATCTAATTTAAGGGTTAGTTTGACATAATTTAAGGGTTGCTTGAACCATGCTTGGAATATTTAAGTAGCCAAATTAAGTTGTTCTTTCTGACAATAGAATTCCAAGTGTGCTACTTAAGTTAAGCTGGGGTTAGAGATTCAGAATAAATCAACTGTGGTACTACTCGGTTTCACAAGGCTATAGGCACATTTAAGAACCTGTCAACTCAAAATGCTCACTACATTAATGTCAGGAAACAGAATTTGCCACACATCTTCAAGGACTGAAGACACAATATTAGTAAAAATAGTTCCTCAATAAAAAGAGCTCTGCTTGTATATACCAACTTTGCAGTAAAACAAGAAAATGATCATTCTTTTCATATGTGATCCACACCCTAAAACTTAGCCTTATAAATTTTTCTCTGGTGCCCGAAAGTATCCTAATAAAACACTAAATTTCACTAGTTTTAGAATTGTGCAACACATCAAGACATTTTACATAGGTTTTTCTTCATGAGAGGAATTTTGCCTAACTTTCAATGTTTTGATTTTTTGAAGCCAATAACATATAAGGCTGATTATAGAGGTAGTTTTCCCCCAAACATTTCCTTCAGGAAAGAGGGAGCTGCCTCGATTTCAAATGCTTGCAACATGTCTCAAGTGTACTGTGGGCTTTTTCTGTTTGCCTCTTTATTCTCTATTTGTTTGACAACAAAGTATTGTTTTACTGAGGGTAATTTGCCTGTAATAGCCTCTACCTCTCCTAGTTTTTCATGCTAATAGAAAACACATGATAGAATTGATAAAACATGAGGCATAGATATTAACATAGATTTAGTAACTACTCTTGGGGTAATGACCTCACAGTTACAAATGTTAGGTGTCATTGTGTACAAAACATCTAAGATCAGCTTCAAAGCAATAAAATATGTAACATGTTTGTACAACTTGAGACAATGGCCATCCTACAGAAAATAGTTGTGGGATCAGGAGCACAGAACTGGAGTTACCCAATACTGACAGAAATAGACATACATTCCAGAAGAGTGGAGAAAGTTCATTAATACAATGTTTGGTTGAGACACCAGAAAATCTGTGCCTAAAAATAAAGATGTACTCTAGACCTCTTTTAATAAAGCATGAGTCAGGCAATGACAAGATCATGGAGAACCACCAGTAAATTAACTGTCTGTCTTAAGAAAGAATTCAGCAGGCTTTTTAAGATGTTAGCATAGCACAGACTCCTTATCATTAGCAACACTGAGTGTAAAATAGGAAAGTTTTAGGCAGTATAAGAGGCAGAAAAATGTGACCCATGATTATGAAAACAAGTTAATAGAAAAAGGTATGTCTAATGTTTAAACAGTAGATAAGGGCTACCAAAACAGCTGTGTCAATGTATCCATAAGCATAATATGATCTTAATGAATGATTAGATGGGTTATCTCACCAGATAAAGTATATAAATTCAAGAATGAAATGTGTAATATCATAGTTGTAAAATTTACTAAATGAACTTAAGAGCAGATTGAAGATGTCAGAAAAAGAAAGGTTTGCAAATATCAAAGATAAGCAAATAAAATGTGTCTGATATGAAGGTCAAAGGAATAAAAAGATTAATTCAATTAATGGAGTCTCATTGGTACACCTATGATAAAATATGTATATATAATATTGGAGGAACCACTACAAAGACTACAGCAAACAATATATTCTAAAACATTAGAGATAAAGAAAATTCTAAAAAAGTTTGGTTACTTCAACATTTTTTAGAATTTTCCTTGTAAAATAACTATAACTGAGTTTCCAGAATGATAAGATAAAAAAAAATAAGGCCAAATATTTTTGAAGCAGTGTGATTAAGAACTTCTCAAATTTGGTGAAAAACACCAACCTATAAAGGCAAACTGCTTAGTGAGATACAAGCAGGGGAAACACAAACAACAACAAAAACCCATCATAGTCCAAATGTTGGAAACCAAAAACAAAGAAAATTCTTGAAAGTAACTAAGTAAAAAAGTCCTGCTGTATATGTAGGAAGAAAAATATGACTGATGGCTCATTCTTCAGGTGCAATATTAGAGGCCAGAAGATAATGAATTGCCATCTTTAAAGTACTGAAATTAAAGAAAAAAGCCTGTCTGTTCAAAATTCTGTATCCAAAGAAAATATACTTCAAAAATCTTGTTGGAATAAAGACATTTTTAGATAAATAAAATCTTTGAGCATTGCCACAGAAAATCTAAAATCACAATAAAAATATGGCAAGCTGATTAGGTCAATGGAAAAATAGATAGATATTAGATTTACAAGCAGAAATGAAAAATACCAGAAATGGTAAATATGTGGTAACTATTAAATACCAGCTTTCTATTTATATCCACTCAAAGTCAAAATAATAGTATTGCAAGATGGAGCTTACAACATGAGAAAAAAATATAATATAAGCCATAAATATCAAACAGGATAGCAGATATGTGGAAATATATTTTTATGAGGCAAAAATTGAATAAAATAATAGAAAAATAATGTTAAGTAGCTATGTTAAGAATTGTAATATGCTGAAACATTATAAATACATAATTAAAAACATAGCTATAAATTCAACATATGTATCTCAGAAATTTAAGAAGGAGGAGAGAAATAGAATGAGGCTGAAAAAAAATATTCAGAGAAACAATGCTTAAACATTTCTTGAATTTGCCAAAAGACATAAATTTACAGATTAAAAAAAATCTCTGAGTATCAAACAGGTTAAATTAAAACAAAAATTATACTAAGGCATATCATAATCAAACTCTCAAAAAATAAAAACTAAAGGGTAGAAGATAAAAATGTAACTTTGCCTATAAATAAAAAACAGCTTGAGTGACAATGGATTTCTCATTCAACCTATTGGAGGCAAGAAAGAAATGGAGCAATATTTTCTACGTGCTACGTGGAAAGTATTATCAACCCAGAATTCTATACTCAATGAGAATATTCTTCATGAATGAAAGATACATTCATTCTTGAACAAAGAAAAACAAAGATAACCAGTCACCAGCAGATGATCCCTAAAATGATGGCTAAAGGAAGCTCTTGAAATGGAAGGAAAATGGTAAGAGAGGAAATTTTTGAACAGAAAGGAAGGAAAAAACAATATAAAAGGTAAAAACGTGGGGTGACAAAGTAGGCTTTCCTTTTTTAAAAATGTGTGATGGTTGAAGCACAAAATCATAATGTTGCTTTGATATGGTGTATTAAATTTGTCAGAGGAAATATCTAAGACAATTATATTACAATCAGGGGAAGAATAAAAGGCAGAAAGTTTTCTACATTTCATTCAAAGTGGCAAAATGTTTACATATGATAAATTATGTATATATAATACTGGAAGAATCACTAAAAAGGCTACATAAAATGATATTCTAAAACATTGGAGATAAAGCATATTCTAAAAAATGTTGACGTTACCCATGGGAAAGCAGGGAGAAAACCAATAAATGAAAAAACCAGAATAGGAAACACAAAATAAAGGGAACAGTCACATGTTAAATATTAATAATTACATTCAATGCAAATTGCCGGAATTCACCAATTAAAAAACAAAATTTACCAGTGTGGATAATAAGAAAGTCACTTGAAATAAGATGTTGTTGATAGCTTAGCACGAATGTTCATGGAAACTTTATCTGTAGTCACCAAAAACCAGAAATAAGCAAAATATCCCTAAACAAGTAAATGATTAAACAAACCGTGGTACACTCATACAGTGGAATATGACTGAGCAACAGAAAAGACTAAGTTTTTGTGCAGCAGCTATTTGGATATCTCAAGGGCATTGTGTTGAATGGGAAAGGGAAGAAGCCAATCTCAAAGTATTATTTTAATTTGTGTTCAAATGAAGAGACATTCTTCTGAGTTAAATAAGATGAGAGTATTTAAATGCAATCATCCCACCAAGGTCAAGAAGAGAGTTTTTCTGGGATGCTGTGAGGCCCGGAGTATCCTTAAAGAATCATATATGTAGCAGAGTCACTTGAGATAACCCGCTTGAATTTCCTGCACTTTCTCTAGGGAAGGAGTAATGGTCACAGTGCCAGCAGGGGTCTTTGAAGAGTATCCTTGTTTACTATGTATCTTAGCTTCCTGTAATAAATAGGACTGTCCTGTCTAGACTTTTATTTTTCAGAATTGTAAGATGGGGCTTGAGGGTGGATTTGAGGGTGGAAAGGGAAAAGCCGATGGCCACCGTCCACATTTGGAATACAGGATAGTTGTGGGAACTGATGAACAAAATTTATGGATATAATAGACACAAGCAACTTCATTGAAATAGAAACGAATATTTTTAATTTCTTTTCCTTGGACATTATGTGGTCACCACATTTTACAAATTTTGGCTTTTTTAAATTAAAGATACAATGCAGGATTGGGTATACAAGTGGTCATCATATATGTAAAGTTTAGTCACCACATTTTTTGAAAGTTGGGTTGGATATTTATTATAGGAGCTTTTCCCATAAAACACACCTAACATTAGAGCAGAGTTTTCCAGTTTACACAGCATTTTTACATGAAGTATCACAATTGCAAAAAGTATTCCCACCTACAATCAAGAGTGCCTGGCATTCTGTTTTTACTGAACTAGTTAAAGACACGGATTCAAAAAAGGTAAGTGACTCTGCATGCCCAGAACAGGGTGGAGGGCTAGGGCTTCTAGGTCAATATCCTTTACACCTGGCCAAGCAGTCCATCCTTGAGCTTATACCCTCATTTTATAGCTGGTCCTGGAAGAACTGCCTTAAGCAGGTGCAGGGATGGACTCAACAGAGGCTGTGTTGCTGCAGCAAAGTTGGGAAGTGATGTGAATTCATCTGTCCTGACTGGTCCCTATGATGAAGATATTTTATTGTATTCCCATGAAATCACAGAAGTAGTGAATGTTAAAAACAGATTCCTGTAATTCTGGGGTCTATATCGCTGAGCTACCTTGTCTGGTAGCTCTGATATGTCCAAATTTCCCAGGGAGCTCAACCAGGGAAGAGTCAGTCTTAACTTGTTTCACGTGATACCCTTCTTCATTTCACTCATCTTCATGTTCAACAGTCTCAATTTCCTTTCCATTTTTTTCTTTTAAATTATCTATCTCGTGTGTCTCTTTTCTAAGTCCTTTCCAAAGTGTCTGACTAAATCTTTAGTACTAGTCAAACCAACACTGGGTATTAGCGATTAATCAATTCATTAGATACACAGCATCCATTAAAGTGCCTCAAATGTGTAAGCCACCATGCTGGAGTACAGGCAGACAACAATGAGCAGGATTTCAGTCTTCTCTTCAAAGGCCATGCAATCTATCTGTGGAGACAGACATGTAGAGGAAAATGCAATTCCCTGTCATAATAAGAACATGAAACTCAGGTGTGTAGGAGGTACTGAGATTGTGCAGACACACATATTGTCAACTCTACTTGCAGTGTTTTAAGGAAAGAAAAAAGAATGGTGTTGGTGCTGGATCTTCCAGAATGGTGAGAGTTCCCCAGCTGGGGAGTACACTAGTTGTGGAGAATAAGTAAGCAAGAAAAGATTGTATCTGGACAAAAGAAGTGGATGAGATGTATAAAAGCAGAGAATACATAGAACTGCCAAGAATATCTTCATTAAAAAGTATTTAAAAGGCAATATGTCCAACAATTAAAGAATTACTGAATAAATGAAAAGTTATCCACTTGATTCAGTCATTTTAATGTTGTTATGAAGACTATGATGAGAAATTTTATTGAAATGTTGTCTGCAAAGTTGTATAGACATTAAAATCCAAAGTAGTATTACATGAAGTATACAACATCAATAGGACCTATAAAAAGGTCAAGCAGCCATATTGAGGTGGAGAAATAAGGGTGACCTTTTGTTATTGTTTTTCTCTGTTGCATTCTTTTACAACCTTATGACTGTCCTCTGTGCAGGCATCACCACGGTGCTGACCATGACCACCCTGAGTACAATCGCCAGGACTTCATTGCCACGTGTGTCCTACGTGACTGCCATGGATCTTTTTGTGACTGTGTGCTTCCTGTTTGTCTTTGCTGCGTTGATGGAGTATGCCACCCTCAACTACTACTCAAGTTGTAGAAAACCAGCTACCACTAAGAAGTCCACATCGGTGAGTTGCAGTATCAGAGATTCTCTGGGAGATAAAAGGGGGATTTTTCAAGATAAATATGTGCTTAAATGCAATTGTATCCTTGTAGACATTACAAAATTTGATATAAATGCCTAGTTCAACAAGACTTAAAAACCATTTGTATACCTAACCCTGAATTGTACTTCACACCTTGAAAATAAATCTTTTTAATTTAAAAAAAACTTTAAAAATAGGAAAATAAAAATTGGACAGTACTTCTGAAGATGTGACTTTCTGGCATATCTTTGGTGTCACCTACTAGTGACGTGGATTGGTTGAGTCATACCTCAAAGATTGCTCTTATATAGGGTGATCTGGGGCGTTGATGTTCATGGCAGTTTTCTCATTATTTGTGTTCTTTTCCTGTAGTTATTGCATCCAGATTCCTCAAGATGGATCCACGAGCGAATAAGCCTACAAGCCCCCTCCGTATGTATAGCATAACAGATGTCAATATTTCTGAGAACTTATACTAAACCGATATTGCATTTGAAAGATATGATACTCTGCACTCATGTGTTGAAAACCAGAGAATGATGCACAAAGTTGCTAAAAAATGTGTTTACTGCTATTTTAAAAATCCAACTTTGACAATTTGGACAACAGAGGAGAAAATTAATCATAATACTTCTACAAAGGGATTAATGCATGTCATACACAATTCCCAACTTTTTTCTAGGCATTCACATAATCTATATTTATGCCTTTTAGAAAAATAGAATTATAATCTACCTATTACTTCATAGTCTATTTTGTAACTCAAAAACACATACTTAAGTTTCTGTGCCACAAACGTTTTATCAGATCGTTTTAATGATTGTATCATATGTGTATTGATACACAGGCAATCTTGGCTGGGTACTGGGTTTATCAACAATTTTTCACATCCTTATCACTACTCTTCTGTAGGTGCCTATGATTGCTTATTTGGTGATGAATTGCTAGAAGCAGAGTGACTGGGCAAAGGGGTTGCACAGTCTTTACCAAATCGTGTTCCACAATCTCCATCAGCAGTGCTGGAACCCCTCCCGGAACTCTCCCTGCATTAGGTTTGATGGCCAAGCAGAAAAAATAGCCCCTGCAAACTCTTCTCATTGGCATTCCATTGATTATTGATAAAGTTGAATATATTCACTTGTTTATTTTTTATTTGTACTTCTATTTTTGTGAATTGCTTTTGATTATCTTTTAACTTTTATTAGCATTTTAAAGTAGCAAACTGACAGTTAATTATATGTTATATATTATATATTGTTTCATAGAATATATAATTATATAGTCACATATAGAATATATTAGGATACCAGCTGGTTTGTCATGTAGTTTTTTTTCCAGTTTTCATTGGCAACGTTGTCACTGTTCTTTCTTGTGGCTTTTTCTGCAGGCATTATTATAAGTTTCATGATGCTAAGTCAAACTTTTCTTTTGTGATTTCTGCTTCTTGTGTCCTTTTTTGGAAAGTCCTCTCTACACTCAGAATGACATGACTCTCCTCACTTTCTTTTGAGATCTTTACTTGACAAGTTGTTCTAAGTGCTTTCATGTGGCAACACACTTTATGTTCACACCAACCCATTCTATAGTTGGGGAAACTAGAATATGGAGAGATAAAGCCATATATATATTGATCAGGTTTGGCAATTTAAAAATAAATTTGAGATCTCTATTTATGAATGTATATGGTTCAAAGACTCTAATTTTATTGAAAAGCTGAGAAATGCATGCTTAAATTGCTGCTGTGAACTACCACGTTCATCTTATAACAACTTTTATATATAATCACGACTTTTATCTTTCTTACATTTTGATTTACTAATGACACTGAATCTTTGAAGCACAGTCATAGACCATGTGGTTTCTCTAAATGCTCATTGGTACCTTGTATTCAGTGCCTTCCCAACCCGTTTGCGTGAGAAGAGTCTGTAGTTATCTGTACTTTGCAAATGTGAACCATAGAAGTTATCCCAGAAGGTTAAGTGGGAAAGCCACTTTTACAGCTGTGAAGAGTCACAGTGAGCATACAGCTTTTGCCAGAAAATGCTTCCAAACAGCAACAGACTACAACCAAGGGGAGTCAGGAACATGTCTCACAGCCAGGAAGCTGGGAGTTGGGAGAAAGAAATATTGACACTTTGGGTGTAGAAACGATGCTGCCAAAAGAAAGTAAAATCTCTCAAGACAGAGAAGAAAGACATTTCCACAAAAGAAGGAAAACAAGTAACAAAAAGTGGGAAAGTTTGACTTAAGGAAAATACAAAGAAAAGTAATTCGCAGACAGAAAAGATACTGAGCCAGGTGAGAAGCTGAATCAGAGAGCTCTTCAGCAAGAGTTATACTATAACCAAAGAAAAAGGAAGGTTTTCTACTTTGGGGTGAGAATCTTCAAAATTCCAGCTCCACTTTTAAAGATGCACAGCTTCATGCTACTTAAGAGGCCAACATTGTCAGCAAGAAAAACAGAAATGAGCTGCCTTGAGCAATGAGGGGCAGGAGGGTTCCATAGATAATGACATTTCTGTTTTGGGGCAAGTAATTGCAAGTAGGAAACTGCACCTCAGTTTCCTAACCTGGAAGGCTAATGACATCACGTGCCCAGAAAGCACAGTGCTCTGGGGAGGTCACAGGGCTGCTTCCTTTGGCCAGGGAAAGGAATGAGTTAATGACTTAGCTTGGCCAAAGATTACTTTGAAGAATCATTAATTAAATCCCCATCTTGGGCTTAGTTTGACATTTTCATAACAAATGAAAACACTGCATTTTAGAAAGTATCCAAGCAATAGAAAATGCCCTGCCTAGAACTCTTCACATCCTAAGTTTGGATTCAATCTTATAAATGGAATTAGTTTCATTTCAAAACAGTGAGCTAGAAAGACATTACATAGAGCTTTCTTAAATATCATGCTGAGTTTCCTAGTATTTCAGTGGCTATGAGTTTTTAGTACCCTTAAATGAATTTGAATAAAAGTTTCTTGATGCAAAAACCTTGCTGTTTCTTTGCTTGTGTAGCCTCCCAAAGTCATCCTTTAGATCTCTGGTAAGATGTCCCCACCCCTGTAGAGCCTCTGCTGCCAGTTGGAGTTGGCATCTTCCTTTAGGGTTGCTTTGCCTTGTCACAACTGGGTGTCTCTTCTTGGTCTCCTGAAGCCCTCAGTTCACTGCACATAGCAAGAAACTAAAGCAATCAGTGGATGAATGTCTGGCTGAATCCTGTGCATGCACCCATGTAGGAAAGCCTTAAAGCAATTGTTAGTTAATAGAGGTACATGTTTGCAACCAGAGCTTGACCAAAGAGGCCAATCCCTCAAATGCCATGGGGCAGAGGCAGGCAGAGGCTGTGTGTCAGCAATGATGTTTACACCCACTCAGTGTCAAGAACATCAACCTAGAGGAAATGCATGCTGGTTAGAGGCTTTCATCTCTGCCTCTCCACCAGAATGGTGGAGGAGGGTGGACAACTGCACCGGAGGCCCCACCTGTAACAGAGGCTGGTGGCCACACATGGGAGGAGCAGGCAGTGCTCAGTGGACGTGTGGTAGAGGCCATCGCTTTAGATCATTCCTTGCACAGACACCTCCCTGAGACAAGGACGCACAGAGGCTTCAGGTAATGACTTTGAGTGTTCGACCAACACTCCTACCTCCGCCCCCTGGTTTCTAACAACTATGAACATACCCATCAAACTTAGATCCAGAAGTAAAAGGTAAAGGAATGCCATGTCTCCTTGCAGTAATATAAGAAGTTCTCAAGAGGCTTTCTAATGAATTCTGAATGGCTCCTTATCCAGCACTGTGCCAGCCCCAGGCAAAGGCACCGGCAAAGCCTCAGACTCCACATTTGCCATTGGCGAGCACATCTCAATACAACTGGCACAAATGAAACTAGAACGATCAGACAAATATGTATTTCAGTTTGCTTCCATTATCCAGTGAAATTCAGAAGTGTATTCTCTGAACAGGATGCAATGTAGTGCATACTTCATTGGCATTTGGAAGAGCTCGGTGCCTGTGTGGAGAACTGGCAGGCCTATTTGCAACCATGTCTCGAGGTCAGGAAAGATTCCTCTAATGTCTGATTCCTCTCGAATCATTCTCTCCTTTATCTGCCCCACTTTGTTCCACATCAAGAGGAGAGGTGGTGAAGAAGAAAAGAAAACCTTAAAATTTCCCACGTTTGATTTTCCTTCTTGAGATGACAAGCTGTGCCCAGTTGTCCCACACTGAAAACTCACATTGTACCTGAGTTACATGGAGCAAGAAGATTCTTTTGTCATTTCTATAATCGAATCTTTTACTATTTTCTAAATAGGAAAAAAAGCACATATTTCCTGCCACACTTTAATACATATACTATTGGATATTTAAGGACTAAATATATAATATGTACATATTTACCACAAATCCACAGAAAAGTAGTAAGAATAGGGACTTGAAATTGCTCATGCACATCTGAAAATATGCTCAACCTCCCTCCTCAATAATCAGGGAAACAAAAGTTTTGAAACTGCTGTTCGATTCTCCCTGCATTCAAATTGCAAAGATCGAAAAGACAGATGTCCTCCAGTGCTGGTTATGTGTGGGATGTTAGCCCTCCTTGCCTAGGAGAAAGGCGTGACAAGTGCCTATGGTTTAATCCACCCAGGCTACTTCTGTGCATCTCATGGTGATTGCTGTGTTGTTCTTGTTGCCTGCAGAACTATTCTCTCCTGGAGATGAGGCCACCACCACCTGCGATGATCACTTTAAACAATTCCGTGTACTGGCAGGAATTGGAAGACACCTGTGTCTATGAGTGTCTGGACGGAAAAGACTGCCAGAGCTTCTTCTGCTGCTATGAAGAGTGCAAATCAGGGTCTTGGAGAAAAGGACGTATTCACATAGACATCTTGGAGCTGGACTCATACTCCCGGGTCTTTTTCCCTACGTCCTTCCTGCTCTTTAACCTGGTCTACTGGGTTGGATACCTGTATCTCTAGATGTTGCTGCTAGACATGAGTAAAGAGTGTTTGGTTCATACTCTTGACCTTCCATCATCCCCAGACCAGTAGTGACCAATTGGGAATGGCAAGGAAGAACATTGCTCAGCTGGTCTTATGCTATTTATAACCTCTCAGCAGCACCGGAAGTATCTGGAAAAGGGTTCTATTATGTATTTCACATGTGCACATGTGTGCGCGCACACATACACCCACACACACACGCATTGAGTTTTAAAGTGATATTCTTGCTAATCAATCTATAGCTTGGTGAAGTGTCTGGATGGTTTAGGGACATTGATATCAGAAACAGCTGTTGGTTATCCTTGTAAAGAAATCTGTAAAACAGGCAAGCAAACATCTGAGACCTCTCTCGGGTTTCTGCCCCGATCCCTGGCCAGGACTTACTCTTTCTGGCCCCAGCCCAGGACCCACTGGGCACTCTGAGTTCCAGTGTGAACTGCAGTGGTTTCCACCTGGTGTCCTCTCTTGTGGCCTCTCTTGCTCTGGCACCACCATCATTAGTTAACCCCTGACAGCTTCCTCTAGGCCTGAGAAGAGAGCATATGCATCTTCTATAAGACTCTCATCTGAGGAAAAAAAGATGATTTTTAAAATGTTCACATTATTGAGTCAAAGATGTTCATTATCTCAGCATATCAGCAGGTTAATGCTTGATTCCAGACTACCGACAGCCAACAGTGTTTGAACTCTGGGTTACTGGACTAGTTCAACATATCACCTTAAAAGCAGTGTTTTACTACACCAAGGCTCAACCCCAAAGTATGTGCCCATCTTCTCCTATGTTATGGTGGGTTCAATACTTGTCTTCATCTTGCAAAGAAAGGTATACAGAAAAAAAATGTAGCTAAAAGTTTAAAAATTTCTTAGCAAATATTAATTTTCAAGTCAAACCAATTTTAGATGCAAAAAATGGGTAATGACTATCATCAACTATATATTTTGATGAACAAGAATTATTTTATACTTTGAACTATGAATGCATAGCAAAATCCCAAAGGAAAAAAATTATCCCAAATCAATACTCTTTTGATATTTTTATAACACAAAACTAATTTGCTTCTTGATATTAGTTCTTTGTTATAACCTGCTGCCAGTATGTATTTCATAAAACTCTTTTAAATCTCCCATCATCAAATAGGAAAAATAACAAGTCCTACCAGGTAAGAATGCTTTGGCATTATTAAAATTTTGGTACCAAAATTTCTGTTCTTCTCATCTTTCTCACATAGAAGATTGAATTAATTTTATTGTAAACCATAATTTTTAAAAATTATCTATTGCGTGTACTAATAGAACAAAAGTAATATATTGTGTGAAAAAAGTATAGAAAAGTACTGATTTCACACAAATTACCAGACACAGAAAGGAAAAGGAATAGAGGCCAGAAAAACTGAAATTAGATGAGCTATTCTTATTAGCTTTGCTGCATATTAAGTGAATGTGGAGATACAGGTATATGATCACCAATGTTGAAGGATCAAGTCTATATCATGTGACACATTCAAGTTCATTGTTTTTCTTACTGTCTGGTCTCTACCTTTTGACTTGATAGTTGTTACATAAGCCACTAACCAATTGGCTTCTATTTAGCAAATTTAATTGAAAAAATAATAATAAATATTTGTGGGGAAACAGGTTGAAAATAGTCTTAAATGGAATTTCTTAACTAGAAAATTTCACATACAAGCACCCTAGTTCTGTCTCATGCATAAGCAGCCATTCCTGCTCTTGGCAGGGTACTCTGGAGGGACCCTAAGGGAACCCCATGTCACAACTCGTTACTGAGGTAGCCCAAGGGTCTCTTCAAGCAATTTCCAAAATTATGAATTTGTAACTTCTAACAATATGAACAATTTCAAATTGCCACATTTTAAAAGAGGGTCTGGAGAGAACCAAATTTTCTAGTAAAATTCTTTTTGAGAGGAAAATAAACTAAAATATTTTTTATAAATTATTTATAGGTTTGGTTCAATTTTGCTTTGAAACAATTTCTTTTGATGCCTCTTGTTTCAAAACCACTCAATATTTGGATACTGTCAGCAACTCTCATGAAATTTTATGTGATATATATATATTTTATGTGATATATATATATATTTTATGTGATATATGTATATCATGCCAATAGCTTCTGTTTTCTTAATCCAGCCATCCAGCCATTCTCTTCTTCCCAACCTCAGTCCTCCTGGTTGAAACGGAAGTTCATCATTCCTTTTCCATAAAGGAAACCCTTCATCTCAAGACAGTCTAATAGACATTCCCTAATGGAGCATAATGCAGATTCTTGCATATATAGGGTCCTACTCACCAGGAGAGTCCAAGTTAAAAGAACTGAAACACCCCCTACGAGTACACCCAGGCCTGTTTCTCTTTAGGCTTCCAGATCAGCCTCAAGTCCTGAGATGGGCTTGTGAAGACTACAGTGGAGGAGAAGTGTGTGTACCTTGCACAGGTGCAGAGCTCAGGAGTTCTGAAAGCATGCATGTGTTTACTTTTTAGAGGGAGGAAGAGGGGCAGCCCAGGCAGCAGATGAGGGAAATGTTTCCCTTTTTAACTCAGCGGCTCTCCTTAGCCAGTATGCTTGACTGTGAGGAACACCTGTAGGTGCACAAGACGTTCTGCTGCTAAGCCCCAGCTTGCTTTGCATAAGAATTGGGAAACGTTTTCGGTGGAAGACATGTGAGTGATCTGCATTCTAAAGGTGCTACCATGTGCCTCACTTTCAGACATGCTCTAAATCTGGGAGATTACAGTTCCATACTTTGACAAGAATTTCAAATTTCTGACCACTGTGGATCATACTTAAAAACTCTCTCTCTCTCTCTCTCTCTGAGTTACAGTCTCACTCTGTCGCACAGGATGGAGTACTCCCAGCCACCCCAGCATCGACTTGCTGGGCCCAGGTGATCCTTCCAAATCAGCCATCCAAGCAGCAGGAGCTACAGGCATACAGACACATGTTACAACACCAGGTTAATTTTCTGATGATTTATTGTCTCAACAAGTTGTCCAGGCTTTTCTTGAACCTGTGGGCTCAGGCAAGCCCCTGACCTTGGTCTCGCAAAGTGCTGGGATTACAAGCCACCATGCCCGGTGACTGTCTCTTTTAAGCGGCATCCTGGGAGAGGAGGAAAAAGAAGTAAAGTTATTTTTTTTTTGGAGTTGGAGTCTCACTCTGTCACCCAGGCTGGAGGGCAGTGTCACACTCCCGGCCAACGCAGCCTCGACCTGCTGGCTTTCGGTGATCCTTCCTCAATTCACATGAATGGAGTTAGAGCAAAATGCCTTTTCAGAGCTTTGAAAGCTTTAACTTCTGTGAAGTCCCAGTACCACCTACTAGAACAGAGACTCCCTAGATACTAAACAGAGAAGGATAATGTTAACATAATTTTACTCTGCACTCAGCCAATCTTGCCTCCAGTTTACCCAAAATGTACCTTCAAATGAACCAAAAAACTCAAATATTACACATCTTGAAAGATTTTCCACTTCCTGCAGTCAACTATATTTCATACCATTTTATTTAACTTTTGTGAACGGATAGAAATAGGATTTATTTGGCCTTATTAAAGATAAGACTGTCTTATCCTTAATTTTGTATCAGTTCAACTAAGTGCAAAGTTTTTGCAGATTCTTCAACTGAGGTTATTCTTGTCCTCAATAATAAAACATTTTCATACCGCATAAAGAAGATTAGGGCCAATTCAAAAGTCAGTAACATAGTCCTTGTGATGGAGATCACACTCAATCATTTGACCCGGAATAGCTCACTGCAGTCGAAGCAGATTCACTGCATGCTGCCCTGCTGCTCTGCAGAACATAGGGCCACTCTCCGCAAGCAAAGGGGGAGGGCCAGAACCCCACCGGGAAGCAACAGACCACTCTGTGTATAAAGGGCTAGAACACAAACAAGTTGAGGTCTCACCAAAATTGCCCAGGCTGGTCTCGAACCCCTGGACTCATGCAATCCTCTCACTTTGGCCTCCCAAAGTGCTGGGATTACAGGCTTGAGGCACCACGCCCCATCATCTTTAAAATAAAAAGAAAGAAAGAAAATGAACCTTAAAAGGAAAAATAAAGGGAAAAAAAGGAAAAAAAAAAAAAAAAAAGAACACAAACAAGTAAAACCTCTTCCTCTGTGACCACTTTCATCTTAACTGTCACGTTGGAAATGTTCTGTGATTTCTTGTGGCACTTAAGAAGTCTAGCTGGTCTCCAACCATCACACGTGTCACTATTGATCCAATGCTCTCAAGGGATAGAGCATTTTGAATTCACTGAATGAATTCTCTTGTGAGTGCTTTTTCTGATAATTTTTAAACTGTATACATAGGAGATTTCTTCTTCAATTTCTGCAAAAAAAAATATATACAGAATGGACTGGGGTGAGCATAATCTGATGCAAACATACACTGAGGTGTTAAGCTCTGTTTGTGTTGACACACTGCTTGTCCTGGGCTTCAGACACCAGCATTAGGCACATATTCCTCGCATATATTAAACTGGAAATTTTCTGTTCATCTCTCCTCAAATTGCCAGAAAATTGAGGGAATTAGTAATCTGTACATGTTTCTTTTTCACAAATTGGCCTGTAGGTAACATCCATGATCAAACAATTTAGTAGTACCTCTACAGTTTGTGTTCCCCGTATAATCACATTCAAAATAGCAAAAAATGTCAGTTCAGGATAAATGATAGACCCATCTCTGATACCTCACTCTTACCTTTCCTTATAAAAGCTAGATCTCTATCACTGTAGGGAGAAAGTGTGCATGTCTTGAGATAATAGAGTAACTCAGTCATTCGGCATTTCAGGAAAAATAAAAATTTGCCTTCTTCTTTTAATGTCTGATAGCTTTGAAGTCTAGAGGTTAGGGTATTTCCTCTCTTTTGTTGACATTTTCTTCTGATTTTGAGTTCGCAATTCTAGGATAGAAGCCTAGTCTAGTTCTATTAAAGTCAAAGGAGAGAATGTTTTCTTTTATTTATTTAATTTCAAAAAAATTTTAGCTGAATGACACTTTGCTTTTTAATGTCAGTAAGCCCACTTAAACTCTTATTACTCTGCTTACATAAAAGTCAAATATTAGACCAGTTTGAATGAGTTAGTGCCCCCCCAAAATTAGTTGAACAGTCAGTCATGTTATAAGGTAACAAAAGGGGGGGGGCTTTTCAGATTATGTTATGCAGGAACACCAGCCGAAAAATAATTAGGCAGATAAAACCCCTGTTCCCACACACACCTCCAAAACAAACACTGCTTGTATGTGGGGTTCAGGGTACTGAGGTTAATGTGACTTGCTAGGCTTGGACAATTCAAGCAGTCATTGCCTTTCATCGC